GCACGACTTTCGGTGAGTGTCCCCGTCCGCCCTCCGGACCTTCCCAGGATGCCGGCGAGTGCGTTGCGTTGCAAGTGAAAGATGGCCAAAATCTCATTAACAGAAATGCCTTCATGCTTTTCGCTTCAGGTAATTGAAGTCATAATTGGGGGTGGAGAGTGTTTTGTAGCTTTTCCCCTCCTGAAGGTGGGACTTTTGGGGTTTTTTTTTGTTTTGTTTTGTTTTTTAACCTTTCAGCGGCATGCAGAATGCGTGTCCACAGGCGCACAAACAACTTGAAGCATAAATGATATTTGCCTGAAACTTGGAGAGCAACCTCGACAGTGAAGAGTGGGCAGTCTTTGTCAAAGAAAGCCTTTTGTGAGGTCCTGAGTAGGAGGTCATTAACAGCAGAAGCCTCAGCAGGTGTAAGGGTTTTTAGCCTAAGCTTATGGTTTTACAGAAATGCCTAGGGAGCAATACAGGTGTAAGGAGTAGACATAATTACATGCAGTTTCCGTTCCACCTTACCTGTGTCCTTTCTCTACTCTTTCCCCATCTGAAATTTTTAAATGTTAAATATTTTTAACCTGTCTGGTTAAGGATCTGGTTAAGATCTGAGTTCAGAGCCATTTGTTTTCACTGCCCTTGAATTCTAGCAGGGCCGATTTACCTGTCTCATCCGGATATTGGGGGTTTCAGCAGAGTATGGAGAAATGCACTTGTCACCCTCTGAGAAGGTTAACTGATGGGTGTACTAGCAAAGACAGGACCCACAGAAGTCCAGGAACCTAGTAACCTATGAATCTATTTCCTATTAGAATGGATGATAAAAATGTACTCCAGAAATGATCCATCATCTTCATTAGATAAAGAGTCATGTGTTTATCTCCCAGGCACATTTGTTCATTAATAAGGAATGGGATGAGAGACGGGGCAGGCCTGTGTGGGCTTTGAAATGGACTCTGCTCTATCTGCAAAGGAATTGTCCCCAAGAGTCCGATGACCAGTGACCCAGGTCACTGCTGGCCGAGATCAGGCCAGGTGCTCTGTCCCTTCAGCTTTCGGATCCAGTAGCACTCCCTTTATCTTCATTTAGCCTTTGTACGTTGCTTCCTGCAAAAGCCATTTCCCTAAAGTCTGTTCATTAGGAGTCCGTGAGTCAGTCAGGTCTATGCATGTGTGGCTGCAGTAACAAACGCCCGTTACTAACCGTGCTTCTGTGAGCTACATTAATAAAGTTATCGCAGCATGTCACGAAGGGATGACCGGACACCAAGGCAAGGTTTTGGGGGGCTTTGTTTGTAAATTTATCTGGGGGGCTTTTCTGTATAATTTAAAAATATTCGAACAAGGCAGAGAGGGGTAAGAAATCCCATTGTTTGATCCTCCCCATGCACCCCTTGATCTTCTCAGGATTTTAGAATTCTTGGTTTTACTTTTCTCCATCTTTCGAAATAGATGTGTCAGGTGGGAGGTTATGTGTTATTTAATGAATATTGAATGTCTTCTCACAATTTGGTCTTTGATTGTTTCCCTCTGGCTCTGACAATAAACAAGTTCAACTTTCCCTAATACCTTGCATGAGACTCCTGTTTCCCACTCTACAGAGCTGTCCTCCTACCTGTTGTTTGATACCTTTCTCCTGTGAGTTGTTTGTGGAGATGCACTAAACTTAATGAGGACCTTGAATTTGAGTACGGAGGCTTTCCATACCTGCCTGTTGGATTCCAAAAAACCATTTGCTTCCCTATTAAAAGCTCTGTGGCCTTGACCTTACGTGCCGTGGTACAGACGCGGGCAGATATGCTGAAATTCAAAGAAATTGGGATGCATTTCCCCCCACATGGTATCCCCAAGGTCCAAATTATGACAGAAGAGCCTAGCCCATTTCAGTGTCTTCCGTGCCCGTTTTATCGTCCTTTCCAAAAGGTGACGCAGCTGCGTAGCTTGCTTCACAGTCCTCAGAAAGGCGAATTCTCGAAATAGGGAACTATGCATTTAGCTGGAGACCCTGTGCCAGGCCTCAAAGTCGATTTCCCACCCCTCGCTAGAAGTTAGCAGTGCACGTGGTTATGACCTGGGGTGCCTCACAGTGCACTAGAAACCTTCCTCTTCAAATGCACTTTTCCTGGTTTTCATGTTGTAGATGTGCAATAAGTAATAATGAGAAAGGAAATGATCAAAGGAAAGGGTTGAGGAAGGATCTGAATCCAGCTTCGGATCACTGTCCTTAGCCTGAGTAGGTACCAGGTTTTCACTGTCCTTTGAGGGGATTTTTGTGAGGAAGGTGGAGGATTTCAGCGCTAATGAGCCTTTCGGGCCCTTACCCTGAAAGCGAGCGACAGGCTGATTGAGCAAAGGTCATAAAAGGTTGGGTGTTTTTGTTGGCTCATCTCTTGTAATTATGCCTTTTTTCTAAAGCTTTCATCATTCCGGATAGAAGGCAGAAGGACTAAGTGTTTGTCCATTAGGTGTTTTCAGATGGAATTTCTGGTGGTAGCTGACTCTTAGGCCTCCCCAGACACCTAGGGATTATTTTTTCTAAATGGAGAAAGAACAAAACATTGGCAGAAGCTTAACAGCTGGCAAAAGTGAAGTGACACGAACACACATTGTGTAAAGCATCCATCCCAGCTCTGGGTCTCACATTTGCAGACCCAAAATAAGCCAATGGCGAGTTATTTTGGGGCGCTCGAGAGTCTTTGAAGTTGCTAACTATCACACATTTTGTAACCGATTGAAGGAGGGAAGCTGGGGGTTCCCCCTCATTTGGAATGGGGCAAGGAGCTAGGAGCCACCACTCCAGGGCGGCAGCTCCTTCCACAGATGCACTGAGTACTGCCAATGTTTTGACCATCGGCACAGAGCTCTCCTTTAATAACATTTGCTTAATGCTTTAATTAATTAACACTTAACCTTCTCTTTCCCTTTTCAACCCTTTTTCTCCTCCCTTCACTATATTCCCACGTAACTTAAAAAAAAAAATAAAAACTCAATATCAAAGCAGGCAATGCATGTGTGGCTATGCCTCACAAAATAGGTCGGATTATTGAGGGGAGTCCCGCTGACCGATGTGGCAAGCTGAAAGTGGGAGACCGGATCCTGGCAGTGAATGGATGTTCCATCACCAACAAGTCCCATTCAGACATTGTCAACCTAATCAAGGAAGCAGGAAACACAGTTACCCTCCGCATCATTCCCGGGGATGGTAAAGTATACCTATTGTGTCTCTCTTTCTCTCTCTAGCTCTTTCTGTACCTCTCCTTTTCTCTCTGTCTCTTTCTTTCTCTCGTTAGTATTCACGTAATTGAATAGTGTCGATTTCGAAGCAGCCTTATCCATCCCTAACTGAACATACCCATCATGAGCCATTGTTACTAAACCTTACCCGCCCCTCCACTCCCTTTACTTAATCCTCTTTCGCTGGGGCCCTGCCTTGCTGCAAGTATAAACATTGCAGGAAATCTCAACTTTCCCCATTTTATTTTGGTTTTGGTACCCTTGTCCTTAAAATGATAGAGTAGTTTGAATACAGTGGTAAAGATCCCCTGATGTTCTATCTGGAAATGAATAAAGAGTTTCAAAGAATCACTAAAATGTAACTGTGTGAGGGGTGCCTGGCTGGCTCAGTTGGTAGAGCATGTGACTCTTGATCTCAGGGTGGTGAGTTCAAGCCCCACGTTGGGTATGAAGCCTATGTAAAATTAAATTAACAAGTGAATAAAATTTTTAAAAATGTAAATTTAACTGTGATACAGTGACATAAAACCTACATAATGACACTTCAGAGCCAATACTATTCTTTTCTCTCAGGATAAGGGAACATATAAAAGGTTTTTTTTAATATTTTTTAATGTTTATTTTATTTTGAGAGAGAAAGCATGTGCATGCGAGTGCTCAAGGGAGGAGGGGCAGAGAGAGAGGGAGGGAGAGAATCCCAAGCACGATCCACACTGAGCACCAAGCCCAACACAGGGGTTGATCCCATGGCCGTGAGATCATAATCTGAGCCAAAATCAAGAGTTGGACCCTTAACCGACTAAGCCATCCAGGTGCCCCAGAAGTGTTTTATTAAATGAGAGATTCTTAGGGTTTGTGCCTACTTGATTTGTCTCTAATTTTTACATGTGGATGAAAAAAGAATAAAACCTCTATTTTTGATAGGTTATATCTGCATTAAAGTAGGCCTGTTCTTATTTGTTAGTTTGTTTGGTTATTAATTCAAATCTGGTTTATTTTACACCACTGGTGATTCTGCCCCCCAGGGGACGTTGGGCACACTGTCTGGAGTGGGTGCTAAGGTCATTTAGTGGGGAAAGACCAGGAATGCTTCTAAACATCCTACAGTATATAGGACAGCCCCCTACAAAATAAAGCTATATAGCAGGAAATATCAATATTCATTATTCTCAATAAAAATGAAGTTGATACACTGATGTCACTATGTATAGCTTCTTCAGGGAATTTAGTCCTGAATATTGACTTCATTCTCAGCAGACTTTGCTTTTGGGAGGAGAGTGATAATTGTCTCCGGTGTTTCAATGTCTTTTGGTGGTGGTGGTGTTGTTACTATACATGTGTTATAAAATAAAATCTATATTCTAAAGTCAGTGTTTCTCAAGAGGAGAATGTGGTTTATGGAGATAGAGTGATAAAAATTCCCTGTCACTGATCTGTAAAATAAGAAAATCAGAGATTTTATTGGAAGTAATTCACCAAATGAATCTTTTTTAAGATTTTATTTTTAAGTAATCTCTGCACCCAGTGTGGGACTCAGAGTTGTATGCTCTGCCAACTGAGCCAGCCATGTGCCCCCCAAAGGAGTATTTTGTAATTGTTAGAAGGTGATCCTTTTTAGTTTAAAATTCAAGTGGTGTAAATTGTGCCTTTGAGAAAAAAATAAATCCCAAACCAAACAATAAATATTTGAAAATTGTTGGTTCTAAGAGTAGAGAATTTCCTCTGAACCAAAAATACCCAACTCAAATGTGGAGGAAAAAATAGCTTCTTGATTGCTCATCTCCTTTACCCGGCCTCAGATGCATGGTTAGTAATTTACCGTGTGGTCAGGAGTCCATTCTGCCAGTTCACCACTCTGGAAGGCAATTACAGTTTAGGAATGTGATCACAAGTTGATAGAACATAGGTTTCTAACGGAAAGAATGAAGGAAGCCAGAAAAATTTAGTGAGAGAGCCAAATGTAGTATATAAATTTAGATATATTGATGTACATGCCCTACAGAGATTTCAGAAAACTAATTTAAAAAAACAGGACACAGGCATTGACTTGCTATGTCTATATTGGTTGGTCTTAGTGTGGGAATGATAATGTCCAAAAAAGGAAGGAAGGAAGGAAGGAAGGAAGGAAGGAAGGAAGGAAGGAAGGAAGGAAGGAGAGTACTCCTTGAAGGAAGGGCCTAGAAAAAGAGTTTGAAGTCAGGAAAGATATAAATACGCAGAAGCACTTTATCCTACTGTGCACATACTAGGTGTTGACTTAATGCAGTGGAGAATAGTTTCGGAAAACTTGAACCCCAAAAAATATAGTTCAAGATGAATTATCCAGTAGCAATTGCCAATAAAAAGACATTTTTTTAACTTCAGTACTTAATACAAAATTCAGAGAGACACATCCCACACTCTCTTGGTAGGAAGAAAGTAAACATTAAAACTCATACAGCGTACTTGAGGACTGATTTGTGCTGCCCAGGGTGTGATTTCATCCCAAAATACTGCAGGAATTCAGTGCCATGATAGTAAAACCCTTCGTCCATTACTTTGTAAATTTCAGAGACCAGGTAAAGGAAATCAGGTCTAACAGAGGATAGATTTGTGATGTTCATCTTTTTAATGGAGCCAAAAATGGCCATCTTCCAAATTAAAATTGAAGCAGGGGAGTTGGGTTTCTGGAGAGATGTCAGAGCAATCCAACATCCAGGAGATGCAAATCCCGGAGAAGTTTGCCAACGCCTGGAAGACACAGTGACCTTTATGGCTTGATAATGGGAAAGAAAGACGTGGCAGATCCACTTCCTGTCTGGGAAGGTGTGTTGGATGTGCTAGACTGTAGGGTAAAAGGGATTGGTGTGTTAGGGACTTCTTCTCCTTCACACCTTTCACACTAATGCTTAATTCATCAAATAGCCCAAAGACAGTTTGTGCTGTGGTCCTCAGGAGGAGACTGAAGTTCTTAGAGACCCGTCTTCTCCAGAGTGCTATTGTCAGAAACCCTAGGAGGCACTTTAAGAAGATGGGAAGATGTCTTTTAGACAGTGCTTGGAACCCACTCAGAATCCACTTCTTTCCCTCCCTCCTGCTGCCTGATGGTTTTCTCTTGTCATCGTTCACCTAGTACTTTCTCCAGCTCACTTATGTCAGTCTGTACTTTCCCTCACTCTGCTTCTCATGTTTCTCTGTCCTCTCCCTTCCCCCACCGGCTCCCTTCAACAAAAGCTCAGAAACATGACTCTCCTTTATTTAGTTTATCATGTTCCTAGAAGGCCTGCCTTCACAGATCTTGGACAGGCCTAGATTGGGGGGTCCTCACCATCTCTGCTTTCACTATCTTTGGGACCAGCGTGGGAGGTGCAGTGGGGGCAGAATTTCTTCTCCTATGAAATACGGGAAGTGATAGTAAATATATAAGGAGAGCGCAGAAAGGCCCAGAGAATAGCTGAACATACTGAATCTGAACTTAAATTTGACAAGTCAAACCACACATGCTTCCTACCACTTGCCTTCTATAGAAATACTCTGTGAAATCTGGGGGGAATGAGACTTTAATCGGGGCAGACCCTGGCTGAGTCAGACTAACGCAGAGCCATCAGTTTGAATCAAGTTCAAGGTAATGAATATTTAGAAGCTTAAAAATATATTACTTATATTAAGGTCTTAGGTTTGTACTTCAGATCCCTCTGATTCAAAGTATTTGTTGATATTGGAGGTAAAGTGTGGCAGCCCAGACATTTCTATTTCCTTGGCAAAGGCATAGAATAGTATAAATATCTTAATAGGGGGCTCTGTGGATATGATAGCTTGCAAGACAATAGGGCAAAAGGAACAGGTTTCGACCATACACATTTTTTAGGTCTCCCCGAACTTCAAATATTTATGGGATTCAAATTTTCGAATCCTTCCTTCCGGTATTTATTACATCTGTTTTCGTGCATTAAAATATTTATGAAATATTTTAAGGGAACGATTATATCCTTTGTTGATCTGTTTGACTTTGTAATGTGGATTCTGTAACGGAGGCTAAAGGTATTAACATGGGGTCTAGGCTGGAATTGTAATCACTTGTCATAGAGATATACTGAAACCCAAGATAGAGATCCTGTCAGAAGTTAGTGCCCTGATTTAGCACAACACCGTGACAGTGCCTTGAGAGCTAGGATATGCTTTGCTTGAGACATGATTGCTATGGAAAGTGTAGTAATATCCATTTTCATTCCTCCGGGAGAGCTGAAGTAGGTGTAAACACTGCTTAATAAAGGATGTAGGATACTTGCCGGAATTTGTCATAAAAATAGCCAATCTGTCCATCTGTCTTTGAGGTTTAGAAGTCAAATACATTGACATCCCTTCATACTACTGTGCTGGCATATGCTCTTTTAGCAGGCCCTCATTATATGGCGCACATATTGCTTTGGGATGGAGCTATAGATTTGCGATAACGGGCCTCAACTCTGTAATTTAAAAAGCTAGAGAGAATTTCAGCGCAAAGTCTTGGTTTAATTCTAGGTGAAGAGTTAAAAGTTTAATAAAATGAGTATAACTATTTTTTTTAGTTTGTTATTTCTGAGAGAGAGACAGAAGGTGAACGGCGAAGGGGCAGAGAAAGAGGGAGATAAGAGGATCCAAAGTGAGCTCTTTGCTGACAGAAGAGGACCCAGTGTGGGGTTTGAACTCACAAACAGTGAGGTCATGACCTGGGCTGAAGACGGACGCTTGACCGACTGAGCCACCCAGACACCCCCCGAGTATAACTCTTGATACTCAAAATGCATCCTGTAAATCCAGAGCATGCTAAAAATTATTTCAGGGCTCAGAAGATGGCCCATAAAATGTAGAATCAAAGCAGGGTATTTTGTATTTTGTATAGTTTTGTGATAGTTGGTGGTGCTTATGCAATAAAATGAAGGCACTTGCCAATTAAATATGATTTCCCTGACACCAACACATAATTCTGTTACACGTGGAAGTGAGACTCTCCAGATGACTTTGGACGTGTTACCTACCTTGCCTAAGCCTCAGTGTCTCCATCTGTAAAGTGGGGTCATAACTGAACCTATTTCATTGAGTTGTAAGAATTAAATGGGGTAGTACAAGTGGAAATGGACTTAGCACAGTCTTTGGCGCATCATAAACGATGAAGAAATGGTGGCGGTTCATAGATTTAAGAAAGACAGCAGTTGGAGGAAATTCAGCTAGCTCAAAAAAGCATTTGCATATAAATGTTAATTTTTTTAATGCTTAAAGTTAATGTTCAATCCAAATCATGAAGGCAGCAGGAAAAAAAAGAGAGAGAGAGAACACTGTTTCAGAATGGGATCCCACCTGCCTAAAAAAACCCTGGGTACCACAAACACACAAGGACTCAAAAGGGAAACTCCTGCACAGTTCAGTAATTATAATCAGTTTAATTACAATGAAACATTCTTTTTGGTATCCTGATTATGATTTCCCCATGGCCCGAGCAATCTTGTGATTTCCCAGAGAGTCTCCATAAAATTAATTACAGTGAGCAATATGAATTTTTTTAAAGGACCAATACGTGGGTTGATGAAACTTCTGGGGAATCGTATTGACAGGCAGTGCAGTCTCTTAGTCCATTGTTCTGACAGTGCGTGTACTTGATGGCATATCACATAGATTAATCACCTTGGTTGTGCTCGTTAACTGCAGTCATAAAAATGTACCAGTAATATGCTTTTAATATTGCGATCCCAGAAATCCATGTTCCCGATAAAAAATCTGGTGATCATCTTTTGTATGGTTTTCATGTGCCAGGCCCTATCCCAAACACTGTCTTCTCCTTAATCTTTGCACGGATTTTCTGAGATACTTCTGATATAATGCGTGTACAGAAGAGAAAACTGAGGCAAAGGAAGTTGAAGTGACTTGGCGTGAGTACCAGCCAGTAAATTGCCGAGCTGGGGGTACACCCGGCCAGATAGTCAGAGTCTGGAATCTGACCTCCTAACCATTCTGCTAAGCTGCCTCCCATTAAGCCTGAGAAACACCACCTCCCCAGCTCGGGGTTGCCAGGCATATTGGCATAGTAAAGAACCTGAGGCTGCTCAGAGGAAAATCAAAGCACAGACACACAAAACTTTTTCCCTCTGTTTCAGCCACTATTTCTGACCCTTAATTGACCACAGGTTCCTTTCCCTCAGAATCTGTAGGAACGGTGGTAAAAACAGACTATGGGAAACTTGGCCTAAAACATGAATTGGATTACATTACAATTTACTTGATCTGTTATATTTTCTTAGTAATCTTGTGCCTCAGCTGTGAGAACCACGGGCTCTGTGGCTGAAATGCAAACTTAAAATCATAATTCAGCTTTCTCGTTTTAGAGTTTAAGTTCCCACGGTCATAAAATAAAAACTAGAAGTGGTAGCTAGGGCCATAAGTCCAGTTCATGTATTGAGTGCTTACTATATGTCAGGTACTATACTAAGCTTTTCAAATATTTTTATCGAAGGGAAGGGAATTATGTCATCATCCCCTTCTTTCAGATGAGTAAAATAAGACATACGGCTAATGAGTGGGGAAAGGGGGATTGGATCTCAAGCCCGTGACTTTAACAACTGTGTGCAATGAAATAATATAATAGGAAGCCAGACCCAAGCTGCGTAATATCCTTAGGAAATTAAAATGGAGGACAGACCACATGTCATTGGGATTTCTGGGAGGTATTGTCACTCAGGACTGCAGTGGAGAGATATCGTCCAGGTGTCCCAGGTGGGAATACTTAACACATTTTCCCACAGAAACTTTGTTACACATTATGGGCAGGTATATGTATTCTGAAAGCATTAAGATGCCTACTATGAGCTGTAGGACTCCTAGAAACTTGTAGGCTGTATTGCCCACTAGGAATTAAATAGGCACTCATAGCCTAATCTTAGAACCTAAGCACCACATGTAGTATTTTCTTGATGAGAAGATTGATGCCAAGTTCCAAACAGTCAACCTAAAATGAAGTACTAAAGTGCAGCTTGCTCATAACTGCTTGCTATCTGCTTTGATCATAATGAAGAAATAATGAGTAAAAAAATATATAACCATCACTATATAAGTGATTAAATTTTAATACATGCATGTTGGTGTGCAGTCTGTAGGGCATGCTCTTGAGTGTTTTCAAATTCTGGATCTCCAGACTTCTAGAGATTAATGAAGTTGCTTATGAATGTGGTTAGCGGAGAAGAAAGTCAATTTACCTAAGAATATAATTATATTCATTCCATTAGGGTGGCTTCATGATTTATACAACTTCTATTTACAAACTCTGCCTCTAAATAATGCAGGTTTTAAAGTTAATTTTTCATCAGTGATTCTAGACGAGATCTGTGTAGAAGTCTACATTTTCAGTTGTGTTTCATTAAAAGCACTGGGGAGGAAGGTAGATGTGTGTGTGTGTGTGTGTAGTTATCAAGATGTTAGCACACTTCGGATTGTAATATTCACATGAGGAAATCAAGCGGACTCTGCTCATATTGCTGATAAATTGCAGGAAACAGTAATAGAGACATTTGTTATTAGTCCGTCCAATCCTGGGGCAGTAATGCCAGTGTGGTGCCATGCTTTGAAGGGGCTGCCATTTTTAAGTGTCAGGGAGGGAGAGACACTTCGCTCGGTTACAATTTTAGGGAAGCATTTTCGGGGGCAAACTTCTCCGTTCATTTGCGGGGATGTCGGTTGGGAGGAGGGTGATGGGGGCATACGTGGCTCTCACATCATAGAATATCTTAGAATGGTTCTGTGAACTCTTGCTTAGAAATTCCAGTCAGGACGGTTTCAAACAGTGATAGGGAAACCAGGCGTGTCACTCAGATGTGGGACTTCTGCATACCTCCTGCTTTGATGATCTCTCCTCTGGGGCCCTCATTCTGCTGCGCTCTCTCTCTCCCTCTCCCTGCAGAGTCCTCAAATGCCACTTTGTTGACCAACGCAGAGAAGATTGCCACCATCACCACCACACACGCCCCTTCTCAGCAAGGGCCCCAGGAGACCAGGTCAGACATAACTTTGGTTGCTTTTGTTAGTTTTAAGGGGAAACAACTAACTCCTGGTCTGATGATACTCATCCTTGACTTTGTTTTCTTCCCTTCAGTTTCATGGTTTGCTTTGCTTTTACGCTTCTCTCTCTCGCTTTGGCAGGAATACCACCAAACCAAAGCCGGAATCTCAGTTTGAGTTCAAAGCACCCCAGGCAACACAGGTGAGGGCCATTCGTCTTTTTTTCTGTTTGCTTAGTACATTTCCTTCCAACTTTCTGAAGCTATTTTTACGAGCTATCTTTTATAAGGTACCCCCAATTAAAATAAATAACCTTTTGTGAGAGGTTGTACTAAATATGAGCTCACATTTAGCTGGCTAGGAAATGACATTTTCTGTTACTACCTTTGCAAAATATTCCTAGAGATCCTCTTCTAGGTGGGAAAAAGAAAGAAAGAGAGAGAGAGAGAGACAGAGAGAGAGAGAAAGAAAGAAAGAAAAAGAAAGAAAGAAAGAAAGAAAGAAAAGAAAGAAAGAAAGAAAGAAAGAAAGAAAGAAAGAAAGAAAGAAAGAAAGAAAGAAAGAAAGAAAGAAAGAAAAAGGAAAGAAAGAAAGAACCGCACTTATCTCAAGGACTGGCCATCAGAGAAAGAGCAAAAGTGCTAATCGCTACTCGGGGTATTCATGCCTGTATTTATGCCAAGAGATGTCTTTTTTTGTTAAGGTGTTTCCCAGACGTGGGAATTTCAGGTGAGACCCGGAGAGCCAGCTACCTGTCTGGCAGGGTGGTAGGAGAGAATGCACTAATACGCAGGTGAAGGAAACTTGGGAGTAATCCGTTCATGGATTCACTAACCCACTCGAGCTCCTCATCCTGGGTGGGAACCACTCCTCAGATGGGAGGCGGTCGCTCTTGGCATCCTCGTCATAGACACTGCCGCTGTTTTCCAGGCACGTGGCAGGGAGGCCTGTGCAGAACGGCATCACGTAATGAGTTTTCCCGCCACAAATAACGACGTGTGGCCTCACTGATTAAATTTTAACACACGTCTGTTGGTGTGCGGTCGGCAGGCACACTCATGAAATGTCTTCAGGTTCTGCATCTGCGAATATGTGAGATGAATGAATGTTAATAAACAGTTGAGAATCACCAAGAGAGGGATAGAGACGGTGCCTTTGTGTCAGATCACCATTTCGGAGAATATTTGGGAAGCGGTGGGAAGAAGAAATATGTGTGGGTATGCGTTCTCCCCTGAATGACTGCATTTCGTTTTTTAAATAGGAGCAAGATTTTTACACTGTGGAACTAGAGAGAGGAGCCAAGGGATTTGGCTTTAGTCTTCGAGGGGGCCGAGAATATAACATGGACCTCTATGTTCTGCGCTTAGCAGAGGATGGTCCAGCAGAAAGGTGTGGAAAGATGAGGGTAAGTAGGAAGAGGAGTCTGGAAAAATAAGTCATCTCCAGTGGCTTTTTGACATGATGTGGCTAGAACCTTCTTGTTCCTGAGAACTACATCTCATACTGCTTTCAGAACACTCTAAAATGCATGACTCCCGCCTAGGGTGTATTTCTCCCTAAAGCATAGTTGATGGTAACTGCTAAAGTTAGGTGAGCCCTTCTGATTGTTCAGGGATGAATGAAGAATTGGAATTTCATGCAAACTTATTGAAGTAAAAATCAGTCCTGTGTCCGTAGTTCTTCTACTTAATCTCATATGGTAGGCGCATCATTTCACAGCAAATCCTAGGATTTACCAGGATGCTTAGAGAGCAGGAAGTCCCTCTAGTCTTGTAGGTTCTGGGTGGTGAGCTCCATTCAGTGTCCTGCTAGTCACCAGGTCTTACTTTAGCCTCTGGAGCAGGTCGACTCTGCCTCAGGAAAGGCCCCACATCTCCATGGCGGGAACATTCACAGTTTCTCTGCAGTAGACAGAGTTGCAAATTTTAAATCTACACATGCCAAAAGCTCACTCTCTTCTTTTTAGGAATCTGGTATCTGTTACTGTGTATGCATGTGTCACTTTTCTGGGGGGGGATTAGATGGCTTAAAAAAAAAAAATGGATAGGTCACATAGATTGAAGCATATGCATAGGGAGCAGTTTGCTACGAATGAAGAGGAATCAAGACGGTCAGGTCAGGAAAGGAAAAAAGTGCACGAAGCTGGTCCAGAGCAGAAAGAGGGAAAAAAGTGACCAAAGGTAGGGAACTTAATATTTGTATGTGAGGTATAGTCTCTTGCTTGTTAAATTTTTACAGATTGAATTTTAATGAACATTTTTTAAATATTTATTTATTCTTGAGAGAGAGACAGAATGAGACTATCAAGCAGGCTCTGCTCTGTCATCGTGGAGCCCAACACGGGGCTCAAACTCGCCAACTGTGATATCATGACCTGAGCTGAAAGCAAGAATCAGACGCTTAACCGACTGAGCCACTGAGGTGCCCCTTTGAGCGTTTTTTTTTTTTTTAATTGAGAAAGTAGACCATGCATATGGGTATAAAAAATTAGTGAAAAATAATGCATAGTAATATATAAGAAAGAAAGTGCAAAGAAATATAATAAACTTGTTAAATTTGTTTCAGTTTCACACACATTGGTTATGCTTTTCCATGTCTTAGCTTACTTCAAAAAAGTTTCTGATGGAGTGAAATCTTACCATGGTATTTTGTGTAATGCTGTACAGTTCTCAAGACACATTTACAGTAGTGACCAGTTTCGTCCTCACAGCTTGGTAGAATGAGTTGTTAACATTCCCTTCTACAGATAAGAAATTGAGTTCCAGGAAGTTAAAGGATTTGAACAAGATCTGGTAGCTAACAAGTGATAGGACTCAAATTCAAGACCTTAATCTCCAAAGCCAGTGCTTTTCCTCTTCTGCCTTCTGGAAGATAAGCTCCTTGAGAGCAGGGATCTTGCCTGTCTTGTTCACTTCTTTATCTCTGGTGCCTAGAATAGTAGCTGACACATCGTAAATGCAGCATCATTGTATAGGCATGGTTGTGTTCTCATCAGAAAGCTCTCCACGGGCCCCAGTTACTTCTAAGCTCACTCACAGCTCAGCTGGCAGGATTCAGTGTCCCTTGGGCTGTTGGCCCTACCTCTCCTTCATGTCCTTATCACAGACTCTGTAGGGTAGCTCAGCACATGGGTCAGAGTGAACAACTGAGAGGACAAAAAAAAGGGGGGCACATAAGACAGAAGCCAAAAGTATTTTGTAACCTTAGCTTTGAACTGATATCACAGCACATTTGCCATATTCTTTTTGTTAGGAGCAAGTGACTAATTCCAGCCCACATTCAAAGGGAAGGAGGGGCGCCTGTGTGGCTCACTTGGTTGGGCTTCCGACTTCGGCTCAGGTCATGATCTCACAGACTGTGAGTTCGAGCCTCGCGTCGGGCTCTGTGCTGACAGCTCGGAGCCTGGAGCCTGTCTGTGTCTCCCTCTCTCTCTCTGCCCTCCCTCCCTTGCTTGCACTCTCTCTCTCTCAAAAATGAAAGTTAAAAAAAAAATTTTAATTAACATTTTCCGTACTGTTTTATTTTTTTCTCTTAACACTTGCACTTTCTAACCTACACATTTTTCTCTAATTTTCTTGTTAATTGTCTTTCTCCCATTAGAATTTCATCTCCATGAGGGCAAAGGCTTTTGTTTCTTTCACTGCTGGACTATGCAACAGAAGATTTTCTGGACTAGACTCCATAAATACTTAGTAAATCAATAAATGGAAGAACTTTACATCCTAGAGCACCTCAGCGGCCGGTGAAGCCCTTTGCGATCTTCTCATTTTGTCCTCTCTTTGGCAGATTGGTGATGAAATCTTAGAGATCAATGGCGAGACCACCAAAAACATGAAGCATTCTCGGGCTATAGAACTGATTAAGAATGGTGGCCGCAGGGTGCGTCTGTTTCTGAAGCGGGGAGACGGCTCCGTACCAGAATATGGTGGGTCAAACTATGAAAACATCCCTTCCTTCCCTGGCATGACTCCATGAATTTGTCTCCAGAACTACAGCAGGAAAGTCTTTTTGTTTCCCCCTGTTCACCAGTGTCTTACCAGCCTTTCGCACCATGTGATTATTTGCCTCGCTTGTTCTGAAATCTCTACACATTTCATCCTCTTGCTTGCTTACGTGGACTGGGACGTGGCCTAAGACAAGATCTTTATAGCCCCTTTCTGATAATCAGAGAGAACATTCTGTCTAGTCCCACCAAGAGTGAAGGAATGTTTGTTTGAACTGTGCCAAACTGTTTCTCAGATCCAATTGTTAGCACAAAAATGACTATACTCCTTTTCAGAAGCAGGAAAGCAGGTTTCCTGAGTGATATGTTGAGGCACAATTCTCTCTCTCTCTCTCTTTTTTGTTTTTTTTTGTTTTTTTTTTTTTGGTTTTCTTTTTTGGTTTCTTGATGTTTTTACTGAAGAGGTGTGAAATTTTGAGATGATTTGGGGGCCTTGCTCACCTCCTTTATGCTCTGTATACGACACTTCCGCATCCCCGCCCCCCCTTGCTGGTCCCTACCCCCAATCAGATCACCCGAGCCCACTACTCTAAAACAAACGAAACTGTTGATATATTAGCCATATGTTTTTAGATGAAAAAGGATGAAATAGATTCCCAGTGCTCATCATGAGGGAAACATGTTACTATACCTTTCCTATGGGGAAAGCCAGGTTATACATAGAGTTCCTTTGTCATATGTGTAGACATGATTTGAGTAAACAGCAATGATCTTTACCTAGCTTAGTGTTCTGATGGCAAAATGCTGTATTTTATAATAATTATGTCCTATTTATTTGAGAGTCTTGTTTAAAATAAAAAAAAAAAATCTATGCCCTAGATGTAGGGCTTCTCTTCCCAACCAAAGGTCTACAAAAGTTTCTATAGAAACTGTGATTGAATGGTCCCCATATACGTTGGTCCCCTTTATTAGGGATTGATCTGTTATCGCCCTCTTTTCTGAAAGTCATTCTGCACAATTCCCAGTTGCATTTTGGACTTGATCAGATCCTTAATTCAGAGGCAGCTCAAAGAAAAGGAGAACTCCTTTGAAGGACAATCTTCCCAGGTGTTGGACACTCATACAGGTGTAGACTACAAGGGGCCCAGGGTGGGAGGAGGGAGGAAATCCGATGAGGCCCCTTTAGACAAGGCCACCCACAGGGGAGGTATTTTGACAACATTAAGACGTCACAGCTGTGCACTGTGCTAAACCTCTGACCATAGGTGTATCGATGCCACTGAAACTGTGTAACATTGTCTCCCTTTCTGTCTTCCCTATGCTTCTGTTGGATGTGATATTTCATTTGAGAATCATCGTCAATAACCTGTGTACCTTCTCAAAACCTATGTCTGTTGCACTGAGGATGAAAATCCAACACTAACAAATGTTCTTTGGGCTAAAAATAAAGATCCTTTAAATACTCATTTTTCCAAGAAGGGTTGAACATGCCAGATTTGTGCTGCTGTAATGTCTCATGCGTCATTTGGACTAAATCTCTCTAATTCTATTGATTAGAGTCACAAATGGGTTATAATATGTTAAGTTCCAATATTTTTCTGACTTGATTGGAACCTGCTTCTCTGTGAGGCTATTTTTGTAATGAGTTTTTTGTACTTAATTTAACTGCCGCGGTCTTCGGGTGGGGGGAGGGAGGGACCTCTGGTCTTCTGTTGTTTATTGTTAATGCACTCCTCTATGCCAGCTTGTCATTGTTCCAGTTGTTTGAAAAAAAAAAAAAAAAAAAAAAGAAAAAAGGATGCATCCATTGTCTGGGTTCTTGAGTCACCTTATATGGCTGTCTGAAAAATGTCACTGTTCGATTGCGGTCTCTGCAGCCTTATTTGAGTGTTGCCTTAGACTGTCTGACTGGACAAATAAACTCTCTTTGCCCCATGTTAACAAATGCAGATTTTTTTTTTCTTTCCTCTGTGTTATAGGGAATCTAAATGTTCAACTTTTTCTCTTTCTCTCTTTCTCTTTCTGTCTGACTGTTCTTGGTGCTGGGCCCTCCCTTCTACAGCGATGATACCTCCTAATATCGCTGCATGTATGAGAAATGAAAAGCTCGGGGAGGCTTGCTTCTACCTTATGGGCCATAATCAAACTACGGTTTGTAGCTCAATCAATACTAGGTGTTTCTGTGCTGTGGCCTAATTTCCTCATTGCTTCTGCTTAGCTCTATTTTGATATGTTTGGCAATTCATTCTGAGCACCCTGCGTTCTTTGAATTGTAAGTACACCGCTGACCCCTATTGAAGTCTTTGCTCTCCCTTACCTTAAAAGTAGGTGTAAGGAAGCCCAAGGTTAGGTTTATGAGAGTGAGCATAGAGCACCTACCCATACCCAAATCTTAAAATGTTTCCATAAGCTCCTGTTTGTGTTAATTCTAACAGAAAGAACAAGCCTCGCATCACAGGGCCCTCCCCTAGGTCAGCAAGGCTTTGTTAGACAGAGGGACGACATTTTCTGCACAATCAGTTAGCTCGTGGGAAACTACGGCCCAGAGTCCAAATCCTGTCCAGAGCCTGTTTTTCTAAGTAAAGTTTTATGGGCTCCTAGCCACGCCCATTTCTTGTATGTGTAGACTACCACTGCTTTTACACCGGAGCTGCAGTTAAGTAGTTATGGCAAACTGTGCAGCCGGCAAAGCCTTTACAGAAAAATTTACAAACCCTGCTGTAGGCTATATTACCGTTACTACCAAAACCCACCCTAGGTTTTGGCACATCTTTCATGAAACAGACTGTTTCGTGTTGACCTTGTTGCCTCACGAAATCCTTGAAAGAGGTCCTGTGATTCCTGCATCACCCTGGTTTGCCCTCCACACGGCAGCACGTTGTTTCCGGTGTTTCCAGTGTCTTGCCTGGAATCCTACGATGTGTGTTACCGTGTTAGTTGCAACAGAGCATCCCTGCTTTGAAAAGAGCTTTCATAATTTCTGGATGCAACCTAAAACATCTGCTGTGTCATTTCAAATTGTTTAATAATAAATAGGAGCCCCCATGGGCTGTTCTGCTTTAAAATATAGATGCTTTGATGTTGTAAGGAGCAGTCCAGTGACTCCACAGCCCCCCGGATGCAATTATGGCTGCCTTGTGTAGTCTAATACTAAGGAAAGTACCTCTAAAAGATGTCATCTGCACCCCCTCTAATGTCAACCTCTATTCCACTCCCTTTCATTTGTCAGGAAACTCCACATTTTAAAAATAATTTCTTAAACATAACCCAAAATTAGAGAAAAGTATTGAATACAATTCACAAAGGTAGAATGTTTAATGGACCCTCACATTACCCGTCACCTGTCCCAGTCATCAACATCCGGCTGTGTTGCCTCTATAATCCCCTTTGCCCGACACCCTGGATTTTTTTTTTTTTTTAAGAGAAGTGTTTTAAAATAGTATACTTTGCATGCAGTACAACGCATAAAGCTTGAGCGTACCGCACAGGCTTTTTTTTTTTTTTT